AGTCATCAAACCAAACAATAGTTTTTTAAACTGTAGCCTTCGTTTCTTCGTCTTAGCTGACAGGAGTGAAACCCAGTGTGGTCTTCAGCTGCTTTAGCTTCTCTGATTCAGAGATGCTCTTCTGCAGCCCTTGATTGTAACTTGTAATTAGTCACTTGACTTACTCCTGTCATATTCTCAGTTTAAAACAGTCTGGTCATACTCTACTCATTTCTGGCATTTAACGATTTTTCACCCAGAGAACTGACGTTCACTGGATGTTTTCTCTTTTTCAAACCCTCATCTGTATATTGTAGAGACGGCTGTGTAGGAAAGTCCCAGCAGATCAGCAGTTTCTGCACATTCACTTAGATCACCTTTCTTCTTCATTCTGATGCTCAGTTTGAACTTAAGCAGGTAATCTTGACCATATCTACATACAAGAAAAACTGTGATGCATCTTAATTCATTAAATAAAATTGTGACATCTAGTTTATGATCATTTGATTATTTGTACTACGTAGCTTAGCCAAAACCCAGCACCATAATGGTGACCTGGTGGATAGTAAGAGGATAAATGCTCACAATACTTGTCACAAGTTAAAATAATGGATTATAAAAGAATGAAACTGTCCATTTAAACAGTCGTAGGATTTGGATGAAAACACATTTTTAATGTGGCAGAAAGTAAATGATGAAAATATTTTTCTTTTTCTCTGTCATTGGGGCTGCTGCTGAGCGCACCCTCAAGGTGCCGATTGTTTGGCAGTGACATCTCTTAGCCTTAAAAAAGAAAAACTGTGTTGCATAGCGGCTATGAGATTTTTTTTATTAGTATTTTCTTTGATAATGCCCACGATATTTCTCTCTTCCTTCAGTACAGTCACATTAGGCCAGTGTCCAACAAAGCTGCACTCCACAGTACTGACTGCAAAATGATGTCACCGTCCTGATGTAAGAAATAAAGAAAAGGAAAGATGCTAATTTGTTCAACACTTTAATAGGTTTCCAAATTTATTTGTAGCACAGATTTCAGCTTAAGTGAATAGAAGTGAAATTGAGTGTATTGTACCTACATAATCACCAGTCTGTTTGGCTTTTCTTTCCACACGTGCTCATTAGTGATTTTTCAACTTTTTAAAAATTCACTTTCTTTTTTGTCTGTGGTCAAAATGAGTGTTTCAGGGTAACCTGATCAAACCCTAACTATATGCTTTGTCAGGAAGTAAAGTTTGAAGCCTACTCTTAAAAGTAATCAGGCTTGCTGTCTGTCTAGAGCAGGGGTCCCCAACTCCAGGCCTTGAGGGCCGGTGTTCTGCAGGTTTTGCATCTCACCCTGGGTCTACACACCTGAATCAAATGATTAGTTCATTACCAGGCCTCTTGAGAACTGCAAGACATGTTGAAGAGGTAATGTAGCCAATTTAAATCAGCTGTGTTGGATCACGGACACATCTAAAAGCTGCAGGACACCAGCCCTTGAGGCCTGGAGTTGGAGACCCCTGGTCTAGAGCTTTAGGTCACCCATGTTTTGGAATAGCACAGAGTCCAAAACTCAGTAAGTGCAGAAACTTCCATCCTTTCAAATTCTTCTGCTTATTCAATTCAGGTTTGCTGTGTGGCTGGAGACTATACCATCTGTCATTGTCTGAGAGGTGGAGTACACCCAGGAATGGATGCCAGCCTGTCACAGGGATAACTCATTCGCAGTTAACTGAATCCCATGCATGTACATGGGGAGAACATGAGAACCACATCACTGAATGTTCAATCTTCAAGATCTGAGCAGTGAAAGCAGACTTGGATTGAACACTTTTCCCTGTAGTTTGCAGCTGTATACCAGCACAGTGAATTTTAAATCCAGTAATCTTCAGCCAATCTAATTCTTGGGGTTTAGTAAAATCATTGCATTGTTTAGGAGCTAAACATTTTAAGGCATTGTTATACATATTCCCACATTCTCATCTGCCCTGTTGGAGACAGATATGCAAAGTCTTGCCTTAAGTGCTTCCATTAGTAGTCTGTATTTCTTGAAACACAAGGAGACCAATGCTTTGCACCCTGACTCATTCCTTTATTACATAAATCACTTCATTAGCATAAAGTAGCAGGCAGTGTGCATTGTTCACTTTGGAATGATTTGCATAGTTGCACTGTTAAGCCAGCAGTGAAACAGCTTCTCTGAAATTTGAAATGATTAACATAATAGAGTAAATACAGTACCATGCATCTTAACACTGAAACCGTCACAGTGTGTGAAGCCACAGCAAATGCATATACATGTATATTTTTACTATAAAGTACGGATCAGTGGCCTTAAAATTTCTGTTTTACTTTAACAGACATTGAAAATGTTCGTATCAGTAGCGGTTTCAGAAATATTTTTTTTAAAAACAAGGTAGTTATCATGTTGGCTTTTGAGTGAACTCGGATTAAACTGGGACCTTGTTACACTGTGGTTGCAGTCTTGGCTAACACTTTAAAAATAAGCAATTTACATCATGTAATATCTAGAACAGTAAACTTCCTACAGGTAAAATTCAGTCATTCAGCCAGGAAAGCGCACAGACACACCTCTGTAGGACGATACACTTGGAGAGTTATAAAACAACAGGGGTCACTGGGACTTTTAATAATAATATACAGTTGGAGATCTTAAACACAGATATAATTAAAAAGGTTATTCATGAATTTCTCCAGTCACTTCAAATGCATTTGAATTATACATTCTGACTCACCTGCATAATTCACTAGCACATCTCAACTGAGCAAAGCCCTCTGATATCCCTGCAGGACTGCCCCCTCTGTTTGCTGTTTTGATAGATGTAGATTATAAAAAACATTGAATTCTTTGTCAGGCAGTTATGCATGTTGCAAGTTTGCATGCTTGTCCGGCACTATGCATCTGTAACATCTTATCTGTGAAAAGATTTCTGCGCTCCACCTGCCTTGAAGAATATTATGGCCTGTTTTCTGCTGCTGATCTTTAATACACATACAGATAAATATGATACAGCTGAGTGTTAAACATGTTGATAGGTCAAGCAGATTTGCCCTCTGGCAGTGCTGTGCAATACTGCAAGGTTTAGTATTGATCTGATGCCAAGTAAATACAGAGCCAGTATTGCTTATACCGATACCTTTAACTTATAAAGGCAGCTTATATAGGGTGGAGCAGTGCGTCATGACTTAGGAGATGGATAATCATCATTTTGCAAATTCTGAACACATTTTAATGACCACTAAAGTCACTGTGATTTTTACTTTCCACAGTAACACAACAAAAGACACCTTTCAGATTTTCATGTATTTTCAGACTGAGTTTTTTTGGAGAGCTGGAAGGTAAACGTGTCGTCTCTGAACCACTTCTGTTGTTTAAATAAGCTGTAGGTCCTAAATTAAACAGACATGACAGTCAACACAAAAAGGTTCAGACATGTTTCACAGTGCATGTTTGAGGTATATTTTTAATTTACAAAAAAAATAATTATTTAACACAATTAAGTGGGTTACACACTGAACTGTGGGGATAGAAGCAAATTATTAATCCGATACTAAACCAGCGTTTGAATCGATACTATCGATATTTGGATTCTCGATCTCAAAAGGACTGACATGTGACAGGATCAGAAAAAAGCCTGCATGTAGATTCCCCTTTCACAAAATCACTTTGAACTAACAGAAAAACACACGAATCAGTAGTGGGGATGTTTCCTTCGTATCCATGGAGGAGGTCAAATAATGACCAAGGCTCTCAGTCTGTTCACACCGGAGGGAATCCTCATCTGAACCCGAAATAGGACGTGTCCGGGGGAAATTATTCATGCTTGTGGCGCAGACTCCTCTCTCGATAGATCTGTTCAGTGAATGGTCTGCAAATACAGAAAAACAAACATGTAATGGGACAATAAATGAGCTTGGAAGGCTGTACCACTCCGTGCCAGGAGCGCGCCTGTGTGTTGAACCGTGAGGGAGCTTGAGTATATGAGTGAACGATAGCAAGATGCCCTCGTCTCTCCACGTGCTCCACCACTCTGCTGCAGATGGATGCAGATCAAAACTTTGGAGTCCAAGAGCAAAACAGAGTTTGAAGCTTTTCTGTGGTACTAATGGCTAACACAAGAATCAGAATCAGTGGACACGCTTAAAGAATTTGTGTATCGTGAAAATTTTATGATGTAACATATTGGGACACTGCCTCTTGGTCTCAATGTATCGTTGCAATCAAGTTTACTGGCAAAAGGAATCATATCCATCCCATTAATTAGGCACACCTTGCTAGTACTGGGTTAGACCTGTTTTACCTTCATTCTTCATTGTATAGCTCCTACAAGGACTGCACACCAATGATGCAAATCTCCCAATGCACCAACTGTTTATGCAAGGCAGGATGGATCCATGCTTACATATAGTTTACCCTAAACCCTGGCCCTTTGGTGAAGTCATGCAATGCAGACTTACTTTCCTGCTCTGAGCTAACCGGAGTGTCACCCAACATGCTCCTATAGCCCATCTCCTTCATGGTTCAACACGCTGTCCATTCAGAGATGTTCTTCTGCATCTCTTGGTAGTAACAAGTGGTTATTTGAGCATACGCAAAGCAATCTGGCCATTCTCCTCTGACCTCTGGCATCAACAGGTCAGAGAACTGCTGCTCACTGGATATTTTCTGTGCTCTTCTAGGCCATTCTCTGTAAACCCTACTGATGGTTGTGTGGGAAAACCCCAGCAGATCAGTGGTTCATGCTAATCTACTAGCACCAACAACCATGGCAGAGTCAGCACCATTGAAATCACATTTCATCCCCGTTATGAACCTCGGGACGCATTTGGAACCATGCTGTCATGTGACTGGCTGAGATATTAGTTAATGGTTAGTTAAACTGTGTCTCTAACATGGTGACTACTGAGTATATCATTAAAGCGAGGAAATAAGGAACTGAAGTATGATAAAAGTGAAAAAACTAAATGCACAGCGCAGCTTTTTAGGAGTACTCTACAGAGCTCCTGCAGTACTGGATGTCACAGCATCTTTATTAAACATTTAAATGCTTACGCTTCACACTGTTAAGTCATTTTTTGTTATCCTGCTGACTTTCAGAGCACCCAGCCTGTGGATCTACCACCATGGCCAGTCATCAGTTTCTCGCTTTTCAGGAAAGTCATAGTAATCTAATAAACTGTGCGTAAGAATAGATGAAACAGTGCCGTTTCATCCTGGTGTGAGCTTTCATCGCTGCACTACTTGTATCATGAAGATGGCGATTACGAGCTAAAACAAATCCAAGACGCTCTCTGAACTCACTTGACACCAGTTTCCATTCCCTGCATGGCTCCCGCATCAATCCCACCGCCACTTTTACCAATTCCAGTCACCGTGTGAGGTAGAATCCAAGCAGACACCTTACTCTCCACGTATAGTTTAAACAAATGAGATCATCCTGAATCTATTCCAGCAGCGAAACACAAATATAGCACATGAATCCCAGTCGCAGTGTGTGGTAAAATCTGGCACCTGCCTATCCTTCAATTCACAGGTTCAAGCTAAGTGAGACAACGATGGATCAGTGTTGCCGGATGTAAATCTGTGCGCTCATGCACAGCTTGTGTTTAATGCCTGACACTTTCGGAAAAGCATGCCTCCGACTCGGCCAGGGTTAAAAATCTCTTTTTAGACTTTCATTTTACTCGGGTGGAGATTTATTTGGTCTATTGAGGCTACTCAGAAATGCTCAGCTAGACAAGGATAGCAGAATCATTTCTTGCAATCGCTGGGTGAGTTGTGCTGCAGAAGAAATTGTCCATGAGAAGCAGTGAAGGAAAAAAGTTATAAACCAAGCCAAGTTTTGTTGGACTGGTGAGATAGAGCAGGGATGTCAAACTCTTTTCACATCATGGGCCACATACATACATTAAGTGGGCCGGCCAGTGAAAAATCCCCTTTCTGTTTAAGGTAAATAAGTTTAACTGCATATTTAATCCCAGGGATATATTAATATTTCAATAATACATTAATATTATTTATTTATAAAACTATTGATACATTGTAAAAAAACAGACATTTCTATAGTATACTGATAAATAAACAGGAACTCTGTAATTAATACTTCTGTGTGGATTTAACTGTATGGGTTGAACAGCTACATGGAATATTCTGATATTCCAGAATTTCTGATGCCAGAAAAAGTAACACTGTTACCGTCTACATCCTCAGAACATGATTGCATTTTTTGTAAGTGGAGGCTTTCCAGTTATGTTGCTGTATCCCATACAGAGATGGGCAGTAATGCGTTACTTGTAACGCGTTACTGTAATCTGATT